AAAAAAAAAAAAAAAAAAAAAAAAAAAAAAAAAAAACAAGGTAAAGATATTTCGTCTAAATTCCGGGAATTTATTTCGCGAATAAATAATAATTCGATCTCTCTTCGATCGCTCGATTTATGAACGCACAGAGTTTTCGATATGGCGATTCTATTCGGAAATAAATGAACCGGCTTATTGAATCGATCAACGTCTGCGCTCCAACTTTCAGTTCATTGCTCGTTTATCTGGCTATTGTATAATTTCCCAGACCTCTGTTACGTCACTGTTTCTTGTACACCAATATATACTCCACTATCCACCCCAAGATTTCAAGATCATTTCATCATCAATCGCACGTACTGCGTATATTTTTGCCCCCAATGACCATACACGCGTGAGCAGACCGTAACCGTTTCGTTTAACTGTATATAAACGAAGTGCTCCAAAATCGAACAGGATGCGCGAAGTAACGTTGCTCACCGAGGCGTGAACAATGGGAGGCGAGAACTCGAGGTAGCAAAAAAAAAAACGGAGAAAAAAGAGTAGAAGAAGAAGGAGAAGGAGAAGAAGAAGAAGGATGTCGTTGCGTGTCGCGTGTTCTGCCTTTTTGTTTTTTTCGGTTGGCGATCGCGTTATCGCGGGCCAATTGCATAATGAGCGGGAAACGAAATCGGAGACCGGTTCGAAATGCCTGTGTCGGTCCGATAACGGTATCAGCGGTCGGCTGTTACGTGAGCGCTGACCGCAATCGTAACACGCACGGCCGAGCCGTATCGAGTGGCTGGCATTGTGCACGTGCCTTTATGTACTGTACTTAAAGTTCGACGTACTCCGAGAACTATTTCAGGCCCGCGCCGCGTTTCTATCCCCGCATTTTTGGAACGCTCGCTCTCCTCTCTATCGTCCCCTTCTCGTTTAAATACCGCCTGCCTCTAACCGCTAAAAATGTCTCGCGAAAAAAAGAAAAAGAAGAAAACGAAATACTTGCAAACCAACGATAACGCCAACGCGTTATCTTCCACTCGTTTCTCGACTCGATCGATCAAGATATATATACCGATCGTCGGTATTATCCTAAAATTGACGCCCGCTATGGTACAAGATCATCCGAAAATGGAGACTTGAAGCAAATTTTCGACCGATGAGCGTGCGGCGAGTGAATGAAGGGATTTTGGAACACGTCCACGCACGTATAATATTACGTAACGCGTCTATCTATCTGACAAGTGTAAAACCGACTCGAAAAATTTCTCCGGAAGAAATCGA